AGCATGAGTAAGAAACTGCTCATGAGACACAAAGTCATCATGCAAAAAGACAAGTCTAGTCTATTCTGGAGTGGTTATGATATCTTGGTTGCAATGCGACAGGACAGGGAAACTCTTTTTGTTTAGCGTAATTGAGATGTTGGACTGACAAACACTTGGGTTGCGAAATGCACAACAAGGTTGATGTCAACGTGGTTGTTTTGAAATATCATGGTGGGGATCACGGGATCACTCGAAGTAAAGTAATTTTTTGAGGGGGGCTCCGAAAAGACTGTATCCCTCAAACAATGAGTGCGTATACGCCTCCAGATCCCCCATGGTATCCCGCCTTCCTGTGGTGTGGGTTTGTGCGCAGTTACGGTTGTGTAGGGGAATAGGAAGTGGCAAGAGGAAGTGAGGAAATCCCACTTGTTTGAGTTAGTAAGCTGCGTATGCGTAGAAGCAGGGGAAGTATTATAGGAGTAAATGGTAGAGGAGATGTTTGCTATTCAGCTGGCAAGGTTTCACACAGGAAACTAAAACACACCGGTTTATTTGGAGTAAAGTGTAGTAGCAGTTATCAAGGAATATGTGGCAACTATACAGTATATAACAGGTACAGCGATGGTGAGGTAGAAGGGCGTGGTGGACCAAGGGACCGCAGGAGCAAGAGACCAGAGGACTAAGCGACCCGAGGACCAGAGGACCAAGGGACTAGGAGTTATTTTTCCCCACCTGTGGAACAGTGGGGTTGCTAGATTTTAAGAACTTGGGACCGCGAACCGAGTCCAGGTACGACGGGAGAACGTATGCACCAGGGAGGAACAACAGAATTCCGCAAACCTTCTGTGAAGTTCAGAACTGGCTTCTTCAAACCTTGGGTGCCTTATAGGTCATTACCATTACTGGTCACTGGTCTTCCTGTTAGTATATGTTCATTATACCCGACCGTGTCGCGATGAGGTTCACATTTTTTAGGGGCGGAGAGTGGCCGCTTCGTTGCGCTTCATTGCACGTGAAGGTTGATCAACCCTCATGTATTTCTGATTTGGCAGGTGCTAAGCGTCGTTTTCCAGCTAGCTTTCATTTTGAAGGTTAACGGTAAGGAAAACGATGGGGCCCACTAAATCAATACGAATATCTCCGACAAGAAAGACGCATGGACAGCGATAGTGATTTATGTGTGATTGCGCATCGGTTGAGGCACTGGCTGGCGGACGTCAGCCAAACCTCCAACCGTGGATCTGTGAAACTTACTGGAACAGTGCCGACACTTACAACAAGCTCTCGCTTGTGGAGCTACAAGCTCCATCGGGAACTGACACCGGATGAATGCATGCGCATCCACGGCTTCAGCCAGTACGACCTGCGTGGGCTGAGTACAAGCGAAGCTAAGGCGATCATAGGAAATATGATGGCCGGCACCGCGCTTGCAATAATCTTGTGTCCAGTTCTTCGCTCTCTTGGCTGTTTGGTTCCAAGTTGAAAAGCTCGAATGCCCGCCTGTGCCAAAAATGTTTGCCTGCTAGAAACGCACGTTGCACCACCGTCTTGTTTTCTTGCCAAAAGAAGCATGAGTCTGCATCGTCTTATAAGTTTGCTTGGAGCAGAAACTCTTGCCGTTGACACAAACATGTTGCAGAAAACATGGATCGGTCAGGAGTTTTCTGCTGCCATCATCTAATTTTGTCTTGCTCGCTTGCAGTTGCATTTCAGTCTCCCATGCTTTTGTGTCGACATGGAAATCAGCAGCAGCTTTATTTATACGTTGATTGTCAGCCGACCTTTTGAGTGGTTCTTTTGTGTCGACATGGAAATCAGCAGCATCTTTTTACGTTGCTTGCTATCAGCCGACCTTTTGAGTGGTTCTTTTTTCGACGTCAGCCGACCTTTTGAGTGGTTGCCTACTATATACTATATACATAATTGTCTCTCGTTTTTGATTCCTCCGAGCGACTCGCTTGCTTGGCAATGAAGTGGGCCGGCGCAACCTCCTGTAGCTACTGCCAAGACAACCCCAAAGACGCTGGCCTTATTTGGTTTTTATTGCTGCCCAATGCTTCGGTTGGTAGGTAGGGTAAGTCAAAGTGCTAGTTGCCAAGATGCTTGGTCCGGGTGGCAGTCGCAGTGGTTTTCATTGCCAAGGTCCCAGGGACGAATGCCTTCAAGCAGTACAATAAGTATAAGGCTGCTGTGACTATAGGCGAAGCGCGTGAACTAGGCGCAGATGCCAGAAGCTTGAAATATGATTGGGAGAAAGGATTCCTGAAGGTGGACGGTTTTCCATTTCAGCCTGCAGACAAGCGTCCTCTTCCACTAAAGCGACTAGAAGCGCCTGCGGATCCACCTATGCCTTCCTTCAAGCTGCCTATCGCTGATGCTGACCAACACGCTATGGCCACCCAGCCTTCAGTTTGTGCTTTGCCTGTTTGTGCTCAAGAGGTTGCAACGCAAACAGATAGGACCAGTTTTCTCCTCCGAATGCAGCACAAGCGCATGCTTAAGCAGATGTGCCAAAAAAGGCGTGCGAAAAGGTTGGTTGTGAAGCAAATGCAAGCGCAGAAGCCTAGTAAGATTTGTCTGAAAGATTCTATGTATAGGGTCGTGCCTACCCGGGGGCTTTCGGCCGAGGGATGCCGCTTGAGGATCTTAGCCACAGCTGTTGATTTACTCGACAAAATCCCAGAACAAGTTGCTTCACAGGCTGATCCATCCATTTTAGTTTTTTCGGTGGTTAATTTGAGTTGTGGCCTCTCGGGCATTCAAGGATTGAATGATGAAGTAGAGGCCACAGCTAGGAACAAATTGGGCCTGAATTTTGAAGTCTCAGACGGTGCGAGAGAAGCATCAAATCCTGAAGGCTGCCATCGTGAATTGCACTTTTGGCGAGAATCATGTCTTGCCATGTTGACCAGACAAGATTTCAAGAGCTGGGGCGAAAAAGAAGCCACGGCTGCGTGGAAGATAGACATTTGTGCAGTCACGTTGTCCCCTTCCCTAGCATAGACATGGATATCGGTCGCAACCATGGCATATAGATCAATTGGAGAACGTCATGAAGAAAATGTAAAAAAGTTCAACCTTTTTCTGACACACACATTCCCCAAGTAAGACTATGTAGATGGAAGCTTCAAGGATTGCCCAGGAATGAATCATCAGCGTTCAATGCATGCCGAGCTTTTCATCCAGAAGCATCATAACCTTTCTGTTGTCATCTTAAGGAGGCAGGTTCTAAGTGTGATGCTGCACCAAGGCCACTGTGAATCTAAAGAATGTCAATATCATGATATTTGGTCATTGACGTTCATTGGCTACCAAGTTCTAAGTGTGCGTTTTGGCATAAGCACCAAAAGGTTCTAAGTGCCAGATTTCCAGAGGTTCTAAGTGTGGGATTTCCAGAGGCTCTAAGTGTGGGGTTTTAGATTTTGGAAAAAATTAGGGTTCTAAGTGAGTGTCCGTAGCTATAGTCACTATATACTGTAGCCTTTTGTGCTTGCCTAAGCCTGTGTTATTTCTTAGGCATCCGGCTCACCCCAAGATCCGACCACCGTCCCCCGAAAAATCGCTTTCGGATTTGACCTTCGACAGCTTCCAGCTCACATCGGCACTCAGTCGTGTGTGCATTGTACATCCTTGTTTTCCTGCGCGTGTGTTTTCACCCACGACTCACTCAGGTGGAAAGACTGGCTGCACTGGGTTTTCCGAAAGAGATGGCTGCACAGGCTGATCCTTACATGCTGCATTGGATGAAATCAACTTGCAACGTGCCAAGCCTTTAAAAACAACATGTTGTTACAAACTTTATGCTACTCGGTTACTGCCAACTGTCAATACTTCGAGATCCTTGGGAGGCCTACTTGGCATGTGATAAGAGTGAAGAGCTTGCAGCCAACTTTCTTTTTGACAATGCCGGCAATTAAGGTGGGAACGGAGCTTCACAGCAAGTTAGCACCATACAACATCAGTTTTGAAGCAACTCATTGTAACGGCGGTGATTGACATCGGACAGGTTGACGCAACAAAGGCGATAAGACAGGTTTTTCCAAGAGTTGTGACATGAAAGAAGAGGCAGAGCAAAAAGAACGGACATGCTGACCCTGGGCAGGTGTCAGTGACCCGCTCCACACCGGAACCAAGAGCCTTTGCAACATGTTGTCAGCGAACTCAAAGTAGAGCTTCTTGTTCCTAGTAGCAATGGCCTCCAACCTAATAGCGATGGCCTCCAACCTACTAGCTTCTTGTTCCTATAGTAGTATAGTAGAACAGCAAATATCCTTACCAAAGTCATGCAAACTACTAGAAAAGCTAGATTTAGCCCAAACAGCACAACGGACTTGAGGCATGGTGGGTGTCCTTACCTTCCATCGCTTCAGAGCTAAAAACGCAACTTGCAAGATAGCCATGTACAGAGATCCTGGCACCGTACAGATCAGGTACTTTGCCGTTTGCCTTGTGGCACCTGGCCAAAAAGGAGACACGCCCGTCACTACAGTACAAACATGATCAAACATGTACAAACCGCTTGGCTGCAGTTGAATAGTATTCAGTGTTTTGTTGTTTCCGACACCACACACCAAGCACCACCACGAATACAAAGCAAACAGTTATGTGCTTTGACTGAGCAGAAGTCTTTTGCGAGCGTTGGATAATTCTTCTCAATGCATGCCAGGTGTTGAGTGAGGGGCTTCTGAGGAGAGCACACACACACACACCAGTTTCACCCACTAGCAGGGTCAATCGTCAAGATCAAGTTGGCACTTGCTGTTTTAGTTTTACCTGTGTCCCGTGTTGTCCTTCGTGCTGAGGATCGCACATAATGACACTCAGCGGTTCGTTGTTGCCCTGCTTGAAGCCCTTGATGGGTTCGGTGCAAGATGTTCTTTGAACGAAGCATCCTCCGCTTGCAACTGAAGAAATGAGTGGAATGTGTTTGTAATCATGCTCCACTTGGGCGCAGCAGATTAGATATGATTATATAGATGTTGAAAGCCTGACCTCTCAAAGCCATTGAATTAGTCAAGGATCTCCAACTTCGAGCGCTTGGGGTGGACTCGCTCGACAGACGAGGCAGCCTCGCCGCTGGTTGTATCCAGTGGATTGGACCTATTATTGGTCCTTGTTGCACCTTGTCAAGGACTTCGACATCTATTGGGCCTCAGTTCACAACGTCGGAGCCCTCGTGCCCGAATCGAAACGTGCCCAAATGTTAAGGTTGGCAATCGATTGCATGCACCCGACAATGCAAATGTGAAATTTGAGCCACGAGGTCAGAGGCCTCTTCAATCCTGAAGTTCTCTCAAAAAGACTTCGAGATGGACAGGTGCCTGCCATTTGAGCAAATTTGAGCCACCTGCATCGCTGCACAGTTTGCTCGTCATAGGTGGTCAACCACTTTCCCAACCACTATGAGCTTACCCGAAAGGACCACTTTCCTTTGGCCACTCGGTGCGGACCGCAGCACATTCGCAGGACCTGATGGCCCGCAACATCAAGCGGTACCGGCGTGAACGTGAGCGCCAGGCGCTCCAGGCGGTGCGTTTTCCGAGGAGAGTCATATGTTCAAAACGCACCGCGTGTGGGCAGGAACAAGCGGAGGAGCGTTTTCTGGACACGCCTTTTCTGCTTTTGGCCGAAATCATTACGTTCTCTGTGCTTGGACTTGTTCAGCAGTGACTTGCAGAGTTGCGTCATCGAGCAAGTTCGATTCTTCCAGGAGAGCCTCAGCTCCTTCGCTTCCTTCGCTGCGCGGAAGAAAGGTCAATCGGAGCCCAACCTCTCGATGCCTCAAGTAGAAACATGGAGAAAAATGAGAACAGAATTGCTTCACAAATCAAATTCAAGAAAGATGAGGTGTTTTCCTTTAAAAGCCTTGCTTTACCATCTCTGAAATCAAGATCTGAACCATTGCAAGTGTGCTGGAATGGCTCAGGATCGAGTGCCACCAGAGTGGGTCCCTGCGACACTTTCCTTCAATTAGCAACATTTAATTTAGCAACTACATGTCATTGACAAAGAGCTCGAAAAGATCTGAGCAGCGCGGGCCATGCCAATGCAAAGGACCTACTCGTTGCCAAATGACTATGCAATCTTTGTGGAGGTAGGCCATTCTTTCATTCTTTGAACGCTTGTGTGCAGTTCTAGCGGGGGCAAAGTTTGCTAACAAAGAAAAGCAGCATGACTAGACTATCACTTTGTCTCAGTCTTGGTTGTGCAACTCTCACTATCCTTTCAAGAGAGGAAGGCTGGAACGGTGCCATCCGACGCGGGTTTCGCGGTTCCAGGAGTTTCGCAAGAGCCCAAACTCCACATGGATCGCAAAACCAACAGGCCCCCCATCTCTTGTTGAGGTCTTTGTATCTGTCAAGCTGTAAGAATCTGGCTTGGAGTGAAGTGACTTGCATGAAGGCAAAGCGCAGGGTCGTGGGATCTTCCTCGTCTCCAAACTGTCCGATACTCAGACTGCCGCATGGCTGGCGCATTGGGGCTCGCAATCTGCCCCCCTTGAGAGCAGATGTCGGACGCTTAATACAGCACAACTCCATCCATCCCTCCTTCCCTCATTCCCTCCCATCCATCCATTCCTTTGAGCAGATGTGTTGCTTCTCCAAGGAACCAACTCAAAAGATGGTCCAACGCACCGAAGGAGAGCTTTTTGTATCGTGAGCAGCATCAACTGAAAAAACAGCGACTGTCAATTCGGAGAGGAGAAGAATCAACAGGGGCAGCCCCTGCCTTTTCGCGAGCCCTACATCATTTCGCGCTGGAATCCTAGATGGCCAGACCTCTTGATAGACTGGTGACTTGCCTGGCATCACGGCTTCAAGGTTACATCAGCAACCCATTATTGGTCGGGGGCAAGAAGTTTGACATGAGGCTGTACATTCGCGATTTGATTTGTGGCCTTTCATTGTGTTTAAGCGACCCGGACCTTTGCCAGACTGTATGTCTTGGTCACCAGCTACAGGCCGCTAAAGGTGCGGAAGGGCTTCTTGAGGAAATCAAACCAAATCGGGAGTGAAAGGGAGTTCCCTGGGACCTACTGGTACTGTACTGTACACAAGGTGCGCCGCTGGGTGTGCTGCGCACCATGGTGAGTTGCGTCGTCTTCTCCTTTGATTGCCGACAGCACCTTTTTTCTCCTGCAGCCACCTTGGCTCCGAAAGCACCTTCTGCACATCAAATGTTGTGATTTCGAGTTCGCCAGTGGCCACTCGGCGAAAACGACCAGCTTTTGCAGGGGCTGTGCAGGGTCATGTGGCTTTGTTCGCTTCCCCCCAAATCAGGCCTGCAAAACACATTACGGTATATTACGGTATTCGGTATTCATGAATGACTGCTCCCCGCAAGGTTGGTTCTAGGATGTTCTAGGAATTTCTATAGGTCTTATGCCCAAGCTGCGTGAACATGCGCGTGTGTGCAAGTTCCTTTTCAAGAGCAAAGCAAACGAAGCAATTCGTGGAAGCTGAGCATTTGTTGCGGCCCAAGGACAATGGAGCAGCTTGCACCGTATCTCAGATGTAACGATGGCACTGTTTCGTTTGTGGCAACTGGTTACCTTTGACGATCCATTCTTTTTTGACGATCGCTATGCTTCTGTGACTTCAGGATTGGCTTTTACGATGCATTGAAGACACTGCTCAGGATTGGAGTCTTCTTTCTGGCGCAGAATATTTGCCCAAAGGTTCTGGTTTGCGTCTGGACTAATCAAGCATGTAGGGAACTTTGCAAAGTCACTTACAAGGGAACATATCGGCTTTCTCGGTGACTGTAGATCTTGTGCTTGCTGGCCACAGGTGTTTGCTGGCATTGTACCTGAGTGTCCTGCCCAGTGTCATGAGTCGCAAGGGTATGCAGGTGAAAGGAGCTCAGTTTGATTGGCTCTGTGGCTGAGGCAGATTTTGGGTTTCTTGCCACTTGTTTTCACCATCGCGACGTTCATTATCATGCTGTGGCCTCAGAGTGAAGTTTTCAAGATCAGCATGCTTGCTCAGGTGCAGGGACCGCTTTTCCATGGTTTTCCATAGACATTTCGGTCTACCAGGTTATTAGGATGCTTTGGAATGTCGATAATGTTGCCCATTTGGAGAAGCATTCCAAAACGAATCCCAAGTTCTGTGCCAGGAAGAAGGTCAGTGAGGCACAAACAGCCGCGGCAACGGCTGCCCTCGTGGGGAAAGAGGCGCAGCTTGCCTTAGCTCACGACTTGCTTTCATTTGAGTTTGGGAGGCTCCCGACTTTGAGATCAAAGATAGCTCAGGCAGATGGATTTGAAGAATTTTAAGAAAACACGCTTGTCATGAAAAGTGTGCCAATGGGAGGTCAGCTGAAGAACAGAAAACTTTTTGCCTTTTCATTGCCTAGTGTTCAGTCCAGGTTCGCAAACGCTGAAGGCAAGATGTCAATGCCGTGCGGGATGCCGGGGTTGGCTGAAGAAAGTACGCTTACCAATCAACAAGAACGAAAAAAGATCCACACTTGCGGAAGATTTATTTATCAAACAGAGTCAAGCGCATTCAAAAGCTATAGGGCATACCACAAGTACCCTTTTGTTGGTCGATGCCCATCTGCACTGCACGACGTATTGCCCTCCGGAACCGTCACTGCCCTCCTTTCAGGCTTTCCTCGCAAAGAACAAGAGACCACTAGTAGCATCTAGTAGCTTCTTGTAACTAGAAGCAAGGTGCCTTACTAGTAGTAGCAAGCTACTAGTAGTAATGCCCTTGTTACTAGTAGCGCTACCCCTGCTACTAATAGCTTCTTGTTAGGCTTACCTCGCAAAGAACAAGAGACCTACTGTTGGAGACTCAGACTCTGAGGTCGAACCGTTGGCAATGCAAGGTGAGCATGGGCATCGCTAGCAACAATAAGGGACCCGGTGAGCATGGGATACCATGTCAATGTGATTGTTCGATGGGCCGGAGTTGTAAGATGTTGTAAGCATGGCAGCATGGTGGAATACATGAGTGTTTCAATATGGCATCCCATTACCCACTGGAATTCTTCACTGGAGACACCAGTGAAAGATAGTGAAAGTACTTGGCATGGGAATCTTTGGATTGGAACTCGAAACGAACTCATGCCAACTCCCTGCCCTTCACGGAAGGCTGCCCACTCATGCCATCCGACCCCATGGCCAACTCCCATGCTGTTTTTTGATGAGCGCCGCGTGGCTCAGGTCATCGACTTCTACCAGAACTTTTGCCCGGCTTGTGGGCCAGCGGCTGGGGTGCCCGGGGTGCGCGAGCAAAACGAGCGTTCCTCGTTGGAGGCGAAGAACGGCGCGCTGAAGACGGGGATTTGGATGGAAAAGCTGAGGCAAAGCAGATTGAAGAATTGGCCGGCGATGAAAAGTACAAGGGCAAGGCTTTTCATGTTGTGTGAAGATTCCAAACCAACTAAGTCGACAATTTTTGTGTCCGCAGGCAGTTCCACTTTTGATATGCCACTGTCCCAGGTAGACTTTATGCTGATGAATTTGGGTTCACTGGAGGATGCAGAGAAGCGGCTTGGCTATGCGATTCCCACTTGGTTGCTTGTTGTTACAATTGAAGGGGCAAAGCACGGGTTTAAAGTGCTGAAGGTCTTTGAAGGCATGAGCGCTGAATCCAGGTACGCCAAAGAGCGTGGGCTCAAGGGTATTCCTGGCAAGTCTTGACAGCTGTGACAAGACAATATATGCCCACACAATGGATCCCAGGAACTTGTAGCCATTGAACACATCGTGGCATGGACCCACGCATCGGCAGGAAATGCTTGGCATGGGCACGGAAGCCCGCATGCAGACTATGGCCTAAAGTGACCTTGAATCGATTTACATTGAGATAACTATTCTGAATTCTCACGAAAGATGACCAGGTACATTCCCCACAAGGCCAGAACAGCTTTGTGCAGTCGCTGTATTATGTTCTTTCTTCAGACCGGCCATGTGACACTTGCACATTTAGCTCAGCCAAGAGCCGCAGTTGTTTGCAAGGTTCTTATAGACTCCAAGGGCAAAATTGTCAAGAATTTCTCTGTGAGCTTGTTACCTGGTGTGAAAGTTTGCTGATTTTCTGTTGGAGGAGGCACTTGATTTGGCATGGGGACTCACTCTTATCCTCAGTTGGATTAGTCACTATTTGCAGTCAAGCATCAAGCAGCGGGTTTGTTTGCAAAAAGACTGGGTGTCTCAAATTGGCGCTCCGCTCAACCAAAGTGCGCGCGAATCTTCTTCTTTGCTGTAGGAGGTCTACGTTGGGTCGCTGAGTGCTTTGACTTTGATTGTTCTGTTCTTCTATGGGTTTTTGTGGGGTCCACTTCAGTTGACATGCCGCATATGGGGAATGGTCAAAACATGATCATTTGAGACTAGATGGACGGAATGAGCTCGAGACCTGCACAGAATCTCCCTCCAATCCATTGAATCCAAGGTCCTGTTGGGGAAACAAAGCATTCGGAATATCTCACTAAGTGAGAAAGGCGGACTTTCTCGTTATATAAATACTGTATATTTAAACCCACAAGCGTTGAGGCAGCAGAATGCAGCACTCAAGTCATGCAGCGTTGTACACTCTAAGGCCAAGCGACCTGGATGAATTGCTGGCAGGAAGCAAGAAGGACTCCTAGATTCATAGTTGTCGTAGATGAGATGTGATAGAGAAGACTAGTAGACCAAGAAGTGTACAGGGATGGTTTTGGAAGGGGAAAACTCTCTTCCCAATGCATCCAATCGTGCTCAAAAAATATGAGTTGAAGCCTTTCGTGCCGCCTCAATGATGTTGGCTCAAAAACAATCCTTTGCCGAGCTTCAAATAACGTTGTCCCATGTAGCCGGTTCATACATGCGCACGTTCCGTGTTGTCCATATGTGCAGCAAAGGGTGAGCTTGTACCACTCAGGCAGTTGATGGGAATCTATAAGTCCAGCAATCTGCCACGTCGATTGGATTGTTCCAGCCAAATGAAGGTAATTGCATGTATTTGTCCCAACATGTACATCTCAAAGCGAGTGAAAGGTACGACATGGCACGACAGCACGACATGGCACGACCATTTGCAGGTGTTTTTGTACCGTGGGGGCTTCTGTCGTTTTTGCGCAGCTGCCTCAGAACGGCTACACTGCTACACCAAAGAGTCTCAATCCGAGAGGAGGCTACACCAAAGGCTTGTTTGTTGCTGCCCACACTAACCGGCAGAACATGGCCGGTCAGACGAGGTCGAACAATACAGCACAGATGTTGCTGAGATCGACAACATTTTTGTGTATCTTGGCATCATTCAAAAGGTTTCAAAGGCATGTGCCAGTGCCATGGCCAAGTGGGTTTCAAGAGCGTTGCCACTTCATCTCAGGCATTTGACCAACGTGGCCATCCAAAAGCAGGCGGAGGAGCCACAAAACATGGATTGTTCTTTACAAGAGGGAGGTTGTCCAGTGTACAAGATGTAGAGCATGTGTTGATTTCCCCATGGTTCTGCCTGTCGGTTGCTTTTTATCAGTCTTTTGTTAGGACTACAATGAGCAACACGGAGGGAAGTGGGTTTCGAGCTTGGAGAAGCAAAAAGAAAACACACAGACTTTGTGGTTTGCTGTGATTTGGTCCAAACATGTTTTTCATCCGTGCGCCAAAACGTGGACTTTCCTTGAGGCAATTAGTGATCTGATGCTCTTCATTGAGAGTACACGCGGAAGAGCAGCGAGTCCAGTCGCCCAGAGTTCGCCACCAATCAAATCGCTCATCATCATCATCATCATGGTTCGATTCATCGACTGCAGAATTCATCTGAGCTACGGTCAAAACATGCGAAGACCACTTCAGTAAAGACCACCACCAATAACCGTCCCTCATCTAGACGATTCTGGAATTGTAGAATTGTAATGGACTGAATCAAGTCGCAGTGTTGGTCACATGTCCCTACAAACCTTCGGTCAGAAACCTGTACCTGTACCACCCTTTACTACCTCTCGCGCCAGAAGTCGCTCAAGTGCGTCTGGCTTGTGCAAGACTCACTGGTCTTTACACAACATGAAACTCTGCCAAGCAAAGTCAACGATGTCAAAAGTCACACACTGGAATCTCCCAAGACTCCAGTGTACGACCCGCGCCTCGTCCGAGGAGATGAGCAATCAATTGATACCCTTCGGGTGTCACATACGGAATAGCATGGTCGATGCAACCTTGTGGCATGACCCGTCCACACGAGCGTGGTCGTGTGGAGTTAAAAATCCCAGGGAAAGCATCCGCTGCAGAATCTTTGGAGAGGATCTGCATTGCCTTGCGGATCATATTGGTGACGTCACGAAAAGTCAAGAGTTGGGCATCCAGACTGACCCTATGGCCTGACTTATGAAACACCGCCGCAAGCTCGCAAAACGAAAAGGAATACTGTTCACCAACTCTCCAACGGAGACCACGCAGAAAGTCACAGATCTGAGTCCAATCTTCCGGCGTCGCCGGCCAATTGGCGGGCATTGGCAACCCTTTTGGAAGCTTTGGTTTCCAAGTAAAAGAAGACAGCCTCGCTTCCCATAACCACTCAGGATATCGAATCTTGCATTGTTCAGGAGAAAGAGTGTCTGGTAACTCCTGAACAGTAGGCCCGATGGCAGATGGTTCAGCTGTGGGGAGGAGCTCGTGGAGCCGAACTAGCCAGTGTTGGTGGGACCTGATTGCAGCTCGCAAAGTGGGCCAGATGGCAGAGTCAATCGGCGCAATTCTGGTAGCCAATCGTCGGGCCGCCCCATCAACAAGCCGATTGTGAATGATGTGGCGAACCGTGGTGTTGGCTGCAGCCGCCATATCATCTGTAAGGAGCGGAATTGGTACATTCTCAAACTTGTGGGCTGGAATCCAGTCAATGTCAAATGGCTTATCAATACCACCGCGGTGCACATAGCAAAGTTCAAAAAGGAACATCCACCAATGAAAGCACTTCCACGTAGGTTCAGCCTTGTGGCCATTGAAGATCAACTTGGCTTGGTTCACAACTGCTTGACAGTCAGAGTATATCTGCAGCCGAGTAGTGGCATGACTGCAGGCATAGATCACAGCCCACAGTTCTGTGGCATACGCAGAAAGGGACCAGTGGTTCACCTGTCCCTGGTAAATAACCTCTCTCTGGGCGTTCAGAACTGCAAATGCACCAGTTGCAAGCCAAATGCTCTCTCCAAAAATGACCGAACCATCAGTCCAGACTTCTTGCAGCAAACCTGCATTGAAACATGGGGCAATGACAAGCTCATCAGCACGACTGACTAAGAGCCGTCTTCGTGCAATAAAAGTTGGATGATGTACGTGGCCCAAAAGGCCAAAGTTGACCCCAAGTTCATGAACAGTTGGTGCTCCGAGAATGCCGCACAGTTCTTGGCACTCAAAAACCAAATGATGCATAGATTCTTTGTCCTGGCCACAAAAGCGGCATTGAGCGCTGTCGACCCAGCCAGTGCAGGCCATGCGGTCGTTGGTCAGAGTGCGCCCAACGCTCACGGTCCTGGGCAGCCGCAGGAGGATTCGGCCGCAACGATAGCGAAGTGAGGGCATGATCAAAGACACATTTGGTCTTGTGGAAGTCTTTACGGGGTGTGGAACCTGCCATATGATAACACGAATTCCGAGCAATAGCTTGAAGTATTTTCTTGGCATCCTGAGGTGGAATCTGTGAAAACTCAACCGGAACCGATCCCTGAAAAGAAACCTTTGCCCCCGGATGAATTTGAAGATTCAAGACATCACATGCGTGCTGGAGGCGAGAGCAAAGGGAGTGCTCCGGCCAAGTGTCGCACGCAAAGGATTTCGTGAGTTTACGAAAAACCTCCGGGTTGGAGTGGCAAGCTCGTATTGTCTTGAACACTGTATGATAGGCATTAGCAGTCCTAGGGTCAGTTCTGTGGGGGGTAGCCAGGACGGCCTGTACCAGCCACTTGGATCTCCACTTCGGTCGTTTGCCCCAGATGCACCTCACAATCGCATTCTGGACTTGCTCGAGCTTGACTTTCGGAATTCGGGATATGTGGGACCCAAATGTGATCTTGGGAACCACTTTGGACCCAACCAAGAAGATTCTGGTTCGCATCGAAACAGGCAACGCAGCAATGTGGTCGATGTCTGTCAAAATCTTCCTATGTGTGTTTTCGGGGTAGCCAAAATGTGAACGTGAGGAAGAGTACATTCGGGTACCAAGTGTATCAAATTCCAAAACTATGGGGAACTGCGGGAACAACTTCTTTAAGCACTGGCGGCCGTTAATAGTGTTACTCCACATGCTCGATTTGCCGGGATTGAACTGTTGCCCAGCGAGTTTGTCCCACACCTCAGTCACTTGGATTGCCTGCTGCAGCATCGAGACATTAGCCAAGTGGCACCACAAGTAACTATCATCGATATAAGCACGAGCACAAAGCTGCGGAAAGTGCTCGAGAAGATGGTACCAGACCTTATTATAGGCATTCATAGCAAGGATGGAAAATGAGCATCCTTGTGCCACACCGTTTGCATGAGTAGTGGCGACTGGGGAAGTCCAATTCCTATACGCCATATGCTTATGAAGGCCTTGGTAAATTTTCAAGAAAACCTTTACCACAGCTTGTGGGAGACCAAAGGAAATGAACAAACAGGCAGCAAATTGAGGAATGATGCGATCGAAAGCTTTGGACTTATCAAGCTTAACACCTACAATTGTCTGATCCTCTTGGTTGGCACAATCAAGATCAAGGCGCAAGTCGTTGTAAAGCGTCGCCATGTATCTGCCCTTGACACCACCAACGATTGCAGGCGGCATGGCCCGCACCTGCCATTCTTGAAGTTGATTATATCGGGTGCCAGTGTAGGCAAGAAGAAGTGGTGGGAGGATGGTGATAAGTCTCTTGTTAATGGGCGATGCAGGCCCGGGTTTGTTCAATATGATTTGTCGTGCAAAAGTCAAAGCTTCGGGAAGGGGTTGATCAGATTCCTCACAAAGCTGAAAGAATTCTGCAAGGATATCAAAACAAACCTTGGGCAGGGATTGCAGTTCAACTGTTCTCCATCCATCTAACCCAGGGGCTGCGTTAGCTTTACGGCGATGTACCGATTGGAAAAGCGCAGGCCCTGAAATTGGTGGGAGCTGTGCATCAATTTGCTTATCCTGGATATACGGCCAAATGGTCTCAAGCATTTTAAGAGGGTGGTCCGCCAGAACATTGGCGGCAAAAATGCTATCCCAAGCTTCATTTAAGTTGGCAATTGCTTGCTCAGGTTGTGTGATGATGTTGCCATTACTGTCAACAACCAGATTGGGGGGTTCATCACAACTCTTGTTTCGCAAGTGTTGGAAATGAAGCTATGACCGTGGTGCTCAGATTGCTTGATCTTCGCCTTCCACTTACGGATACGGTTCAGCCGGATGCGAGCATCAAGTGTTGTGGCGAAGTTTTCAGCCCATCTTCTAGCCCAGTAAACCTCCGTGAGGGTGGGTTTACAGGGATATTGCCAACACACAGGAGTTTTGTGCTGGGCAAGCGCACGATGTGCCTTAATTGCAAGCTGTCTTGTGTTGAAAACATCAGTGGCATTCCCTTGAACACGGGAGAGACGGCAAAAAAGTTCATCAAGCCGGTGGATCAAGCGATACAGGTCAAGGGAGACCTTGGTGGCCGCACACCTAGTTTGTAGCTGTGACGGACAAATGCGCTTAGACAAGAACTTTGGTGGTTGAGCACGTTGACGCGGCCCCTTCCCCCAATTAGCACCCTTATTAATCAATGTGGATTGGAAATAGTCATTGATGACACTCCACTTGGACTCAATGTCAGGGCAAGAGTCATATGTGAGGGCAAATTGGTCGTTCCACAACTCTCTGGTATCATTCGAACTCTTGGGACATGGAACAGCTGAGACATCAAGAGGGGCAAATTTACACAGGACGTACCCGACTTGCTGGATTACAGACCATTCAAAGGTAACTTGTATTGGTCGGCGTTGACGACCAAAGTGCTCAAGAACCTTAGCTTCTTTTGTCGCACAAAAGGCCACGTGATTGAGGAGGACCCCATCAATGGAACTACAGCCCTCATCAGCACCAGAAAATGTGCAGTCTTTGGAGTATGTGTATGGCCTGGACAGGTGGCCCTCATGATCAGTGTCGGTCAGTGGGTCAATCCAACCATGCAATTGACAAGCACAAGAAATACTGCTGTAGCTCAAGGGATGGGCTTGGAAATCCCCAGCGATGGCAATGGGGATATTACCGAATTGAGCTGCCACAAGAAAAATGTGCTCAAACAAGGTGTCGTTAGCGGCATGGATGGATGCATCACCTGATGCCCCGGTGGTTGCATACACACTGAAGAACAAACCTTTGATGGTACGGGTCACTTGATACCAAGCAGCCACAACTCGTTTGGTTTTGAACATGTCACAATAAAGACCTGTTTGGTCGTGTTCTGGCATGAAGGGCTCAATGCAAACACTGGATCCCAAGATCGCCGTACCTCCGCATGGGGTTTTGGTGGTTCCGTTCTGGTGCCAATGGCCAGGAAGCAAATCACCAAACACCGGACGAAGGCCCAACATTTCAACATTCTTTTGGGTGGTTTTGTGATTGGTTTTTCCCACCCTGGTTTCTTGCAAACATGTAACATCAGCTTGCCACGACTTCCACAGTTGGTTGGTGTTCATTGATCCGATATTGGCGGAAACCAGCTTCATACACGGGAATTGACCAAACAGTGCAAAGGGATGTTCACCGCGTGAATTTGGGTACCTAGTTTCAAGTTTTGAAGTTGAACGGAGATCCAAAGTTGTGTTGGCGGCCTTGCAGTGCAAAGACGTCTAGGTGAGAAGCTTGCATCCGATATGGAGCAAATCATCGTGCCTTGGGCAGCATGTGGAAGAGGCCACACAGACATAGCCAGAAGTTTGCATCAGTAATCCTACTAGAACTAGCCCGTTTCAACCATTTGGTCCAGAAACGCAAAAGTACCAACTCCTCTTTCAGGAGTGGGGTGCAAAAAGGTCAGAACTCAAGTCGATATGAAGAAATAAGTATAAAGAAGTATCAATTCCAAGTTCAGCTTATTTCGGCTTGGCAATAAAGGAGGCTCCTTCCAAGTCTGCAGATTGCGCAGCAGAGAAGTGTCATGCGGTACCGAAAAAAACAAAAGGAGACGGTATAACTCATGTATGTGCATAGTAAATATATATGTATTGTCGTTGTTTTTTTGAGGGGGTTCTATAACTAATTCATGAGAGGTACAGTATATATTTATTTAATATATATTTTGAAGACTCCCTTTGCCACTTCTGCAGTTGATGAGAATAAAATATGCGAGGTCAGTGGTGATTTGTTTCGACCTGTTTAAGGATGCACGTGCAAACCTACTGCGTGAACATGATGCAAAGAAGTTCCTCATTCGACAACAGGAAGGAATCCAGAATTTGCAACTGCATGACAGATGCGCCTGAGCGTTACTTAGCAAGGACTCATTACAAATTTCAACATGTTGTGAAGCAGACCAACATCTGCAATGCACTCAACTGGTTGACTAGTGATGGGTTGATGATGCCAGAAATGTTGCGTTAAGGTCATAGGAGTTCTTGCATCATAAATTACCAGCCGATAGGCATGGCTGAGTCCTCAATTGAACAATAATCTCAGTAATTTTGATGATGCAAGTGGTGCAACATTTAAGGTGTAGCATCATTAGCATATCAAGTATTCTACTGCGGTGAACTGACTTGGTGTATAAGTCCAGGAAGAGCACAGGAGACTGGACAATCACTGCATTCCTTTCAAAGTAGGAAAGGAAAGTAGCGCTTGACTTTTGTTGCTCTAGTAGCTGAGTTGAAATCACAGATTACAGTCACGGTGCTTGACAGCTTTTTTATATAAGCAGATTGATTGGAAAGGTTGGGCACAGTAGTCCGCCTAGAAAAGTTACCCCCTAAGCCGGAAGAAAAAGGGCACCCCCTAGAACTGTAAATGTCCAAGGGAGTTAGCCATTTGTACAAGAACCTGGGATTCAAGCCTATCCCATGATGAGTGACAGTGGATGAGGGTTAGTGAAGGCCTTGTGTATTTTGGCTCTCTCATATCGAGCCTCCATGTGAAACTTTGCGCCTTCTGCTTTCCTGTGGCTCAAAAATGCAGCTTCGACTTCACCCGTAACAACAATACAGTAATATAATATTGACGCCTCAATCCCTACAGCGTTTGGTTTTTGTCTCCTCCCTTCTCAAGTGTCATATTATGCTATTGTTGCGCGTTCGAATCACATGTTTCTCTGGGCACTGTGTTATCGATGACATGCTGACAGCATGGGTGTAATGGATGGATGGATCCTGGCACAATTTGCATCCAAACAAAGCACTATACTAGCTCCTGTGCTTTTCAATCGATTGGTGGATGTTCACAATGTGACCTTGAGATGCCTTGAGCACTTCCGAGTGCTTCGTAGGACAAGACCTGGGGTGTCTCCATTGCGTGGAACCACGCAAATAAGAATGGGCTGGACATTTCTTGAAGCCGTAGCCATTGGCCATGGATGCCTTTCGGTCACGAAAGGCAGAAACCATTTTTCTGAGTCGTACTATGTCCAGTGCCACACAACAATTCTCTGGAACACCTAATTACGATCAAAGAACAATAAATCAACACCCCGGGCCGCGGCACTGTTCGATCTTTGAGGTGCACACCTTGAAGGCCGGAGTGGATTCACACCAGATGGATGTGTTTTCTTTGGCAAAAAGGGTTTGCAATTTAACTTGGAGATTGTTGATTATTTGCATTGATGCCAATCTGCTGTTTTTTTAAATGTACGTGTTTGTGGGAGTGAATTTTTGCATGCGCCAGGCTGTTCAGGGCATCATTGTCAATGACAAGCACTGTTTCGAGATGTACGGTGCGTTTTTGTCCACTCGCCGAAACACGAGCGAACCAGGGCTTCAGATGGCTTTGATGGTTTTTCAAAATGAACTTTCTGGATGTTAAACAATGTAAAACAGGATTCCAGCATTTGTTGGAATCCTTCCGGCTCGAGTCCATCACAGGCTTTGATGTTCTCATCGACAAAGACTTGAGGCCAGGACTTGGACAAAACATGACAAAGCAATGGGGTGAACTACGCAGCACTTATAGCATGACCCACCAAACAAAGCTGGATTTGGTGGCATGTGGTCAAGCTTTGGTCCAATCCATATGATATGATTGTGCCTGACCGGGGATCCGGTTCTTTTGTTGCAGTGGTCGGTGGTCAAGGTGAAGTTATCCATTACCCCAGTACCACATGGCTGGACCATGTCCAGAGGCTCTTGCCTTTGTTTCGATTGTTTCGATTCGGTTGCTTTTCTTCTGGTGCTCCGAATTCCGCAAACCGAAGAGGATGTCCACGTCGCAACATATAGCGCCACTATGCCAACATCCAACCACCCTGGTCGGATGTTCCTCGAAAGCGCCTTTGTCTTCGCCCGTCGGATGTGCGAAAAGACGAGGCCGTGGCTCCTGGAAGTGAACGCATCGTCAGAGGCCCAAGAGACGACGGACGGAACTGGGGATGAACTGGGGACGACGCGACGACGCACGACGGTGACACTTCTCCCCCAGCTCAAGGGATCGAAAAAGCGCGACCGTCTCGATAGAAGTCACTGGTTTTGATGTCAGACGCAGAGAGTCACAGATTGTGGATTCTGTGAGCAGAGGAGAGTGTTGGCAAACCACTCAAGCCACGGGTGTGAGGTTTGTCGGATTCTGTGCGAACAAGACCATCAATTTCCGGAAGTTTGAACATCTGGCAGTGGCCGAGGCCATCAATGACCACCACCACAGAGGCGCGCTGCAATCGGACCAGTGGAGCCCAGACCTGGCGGTCGGGTCGGTTTGCTGAGCCTGTCGACACGTTGGGAGGATGACCGACTGCTCAAGCGCCTCGGCCGCTGACAGGGGTTCTCAGCGAGAGATCCCACAACCCACACCACTAGAGCACTCAGGGGGATGGGAAACGGATCTCGTTTTTGCATGTTTTTGCTAATGAAAAAGAGTATGAGCAGATGCTCTTAGGTTTTCAGAAGCTTCACACGTCAGCCGAGGCTGCGGCTCATCAACGACGTGCTCAATATTGCAGGGATCTCAGATTTGCAATCTCGGGCTTCGTTGCCGTGTTAGGAGAATGACTGCCAGGCCATACAAGAGAAAAGAGGACAGCTTGAAGGCTGCAGGGCTTTGATTTTCTTTTGGCCAGTTAGCGGTTTGCAGAAGAAAAGGTGCAGTGTATTGTCCTCCACAAATGCCCCAGTGTCTTGGTTGCTAAAATGTGAGACATTGATAGACCAGTGTGATAGACCTATACTATATACTATATCCAAGCACCTGCTGTGCAGAGGCGGACAATTTTTGCTTGTGCCCACACAACCATCATTCTGCTGAGCAACGGAATGGGTAAGGAAGCCGAAACAGAAACAATATAGGAACAACAAGCATGACAACAAGCAGAAACAGATTCGCATTTGCAGATCTCATCAACCCTCTCCTGATGGACCTGCTTTCGGTATAACTAAGCAGGAGCCTGTTTCTGTTGAATTTCCTGCGATATACTGTATGTTTTCATCATGTTCGTTCTTGCTGAAGACACTACAAGACAGTAGCCAAGATACGAAAGCCCTAGTTAGAGACGATCCTTTTTGGAACTTCAGAACTGCCTATTCAAGTGCCAGAAAAACGCGGTAGAGGCTGCGACGATGACTTGATCCTGGGTGATTTCGCATCTCGGAGTTGATTTCACATCTCCAGTCTTCACAGTGGAGCGGTCTATGATCTGTTTCGAGCTTCGAAGTCTCACCTCGCAGGCATGTATTTTCGATGAGAAGCCCAAAGTGAATCTCGGAACTCGGTCTGGTGAAGGGCTGAGATGTATCAATTCAATCCAAGCAGCACTGATGCACTGATGACTTGTTCCTGTGAGCACGTGGCCATCTCAAAGAGCAAACTACTTCATGAAAGTGGTAGACAGTGGCAACGCGTTCGCCTACAAGCCATTTCCCTAGCAAAGCGTAAAGACTCTCACCCATTCAAAGGCAATTACTATGCGAACGCAGCATGCAGATTTGTCAGTCATTCGTAGAGCACACGAAATCAGTTCGAGACTCTGCAAAAAATTGACAGTAGGTGGCCAAGCATCTAATCGCAACAGCTACATACAGCTGCGGTTTTAGTTGTCCTGATCGTTCTAAAACAAGAGGCACCTGTGAAAGCCTGGTCATGCAACTCCAAGCCCATCAGCTTGTCAGTAGAAGCACCTTCAGATGGCTGTGGCTCAAAAATTAAGTGCCAACTGACTACCAATTGACTGGAAAACTATGTCTACAGCATGTTCTACAGGTGTTTCTTCCCCCACTAAAAGTATTAAGATGTATTAAGTATTGTGAACAGAAAGGGGCGCAACCTTTTCACCTCAAAAGGACCCTTGTGCCTAAAATGGCAAGCGAACAAAGCAGGCTCAACTGAGGGTGTCCTCTATAGTGTTGAGCCTGCAGGCTTAAGATGACGTAAGTGGTCCCACCAACCGCCCTTCGAAATGACCTTTGTAAGGCAATCGGCAAGTTGGTATGTGGTCGGGATCCACTTCAGAGACTTCCCAAAAGAAGCCCTTATCTGTGGGCTCCAGACTCCAGGAAGCGAATTCCTGCTGCGCCATCTGCCTCAGTGCGGCCAGGTTCACCAACAGGCGCTTCTCTGCCGGAGCGCGAGGGCCTCCAGCACAGTGCACCGAGTCGAACGAGCAGCCGGTCATGGACACCAAATGAAGGTCGCCGAGGCACCCAGCTCGAAAGCAGCCGCGGAACAAATCGCGAAATGTGATCCCAGCTTCCCATCCTTCCGAAGCCGCCATTGCCTCTGAGGCAAATGTACTCCGACATACCCGCTGGCCTGCGTGTGACTTCCATGTTGCCAGCACCCCTTGTCCTGGTTTTCCAAGAAGCGTGTCTTTGTGGGCAATCACCACCACATAGCCCAACTGGGAGTAGGTCCCCGTGTCCTGGGTCTTGTGGTAGTGCACGTGGTCGGACTCGTTCGGGACGTTGGCCCATGCCACGTCATGGCACACGATGATGACCAGGTCGTTCCAACCCGAGCTTCGTGTAGGTCACCTTCTCTGACTTCTCAGACTTCTCCTTGTGGGCCATCCGGACGCTCGGATTGGTTGCCTTTATGTCTTCGTAGGTAGGTGCCTTCTGTTTCCTCTGAGCCATTGACACTCCAACCTGGATATTAGGTCTTGCCTGTGAGGCCAGCCAGGAAAGAGCTCTGATGGTTGATTTTCTTTGCCACCTCGTCTGCGGCGTGCTCAGGGAGCTCCCTTGGGGATGTCCACTGTCTGCCGACGTGTTCACATTGTGCTCCTGGCTCAAGGTCACCCGGCGGTCTTCTTGCTTCACGGCAACTCCACAGTACTCCAAACCATTGGAGGCTTCCTTCCAGGCGTGTATGGGAAAGACACTAGACAAATAAAGCTAGCTCCTTGCGGTTGCGGATAGGAGTGGGCAAGATGTCATCCACGTCGGTGGCGACCAAGTGGAAGCTTCCGTACTGCGTCTCAACCTTCACCTCGAGCAATGTAGCTTATCCCAGCAAAGACGTGGTGAAGTGGAGAGCCTGAAGACGCCCTTGACAATCTCGATGGGCCCACCAGGTTCCACGCCTTCAAGATCGTCAGCGGGAGGTTCGAAGTATAGATCCCGCCAGCCCTCGACACCGTTCAGGAAGGCTGCCTCAATATCACCAGCGGGCAATGTCCATCCCATTCGAGTGGTGAGGAAGACCAGGCATGTGATTGAAGTCTTAGTCGCTGTGGGTGCTTCTGTCGTGAGAGTTGGCCTGTCTCTCCCAAACGTACGGTGGGATCTTCTCGCCTCTTGGCGCAGTTCTTGTCCCGGTACGCGAACCTCGGTCTCAGAACCCTGTGCTTCCGTACCCTTTGTCGCACCCTTGCAGCTTCTTTGGCCCGATGATTCTCATGGCCGTGTTCCCTCCATTGTTTGGCGTGGATCTCTTCCTTGTCCGCCTGCGTCTGTAGAGCTCGCGGGACACGTTCAGAGGCCATGTAGCAGGGCAGCTCATCGTCGTTGGGTACTGGGGCATCTTCTGGAACCATGCCGCCCCAGGTTTTTCCCTTCTTGGCCAACGATTAATCGAGGTCCAATCCATTCACCCACATTTTGTCTATTGCGGGCGACTCCCCCAGCCAGTTTCGAGGTCGGTAGATGTAGACGTATTGTCCCTGAGTGAAGTGACATAAGCCTCCACAGTGCCAAGTCCCAATCTTGGGGTGATCGGAGAGTACTCATGTCGCCGTCTCAGGTTCACTTGGGGTCGAAGATCTGCTTGAACCGTTCATTTTGTCTTTCAATGGGCTTGTCCCGCAGTGTAGCTGTAGTGGACCTTGATCCCATGTTTCTCCAACTCTTCGGGGAAGTCCTTCATGAGCCAGGGTGCTTTGAGGCAAGCGTCAACTGTGCACTTCCGCAAAAGAGTTCAAGCAGAGCCACCCGTTGGCTCCGGGAAGCACCTGGAAGATACCCAATCTCGCACCCATTTAGTGTTTGTGGTTGGCGGCGGTCTCCAAGATCGTCGAGGTGTAGGCCAAAAGGTAGTGGTTTTTTCCTAGCGAACCGATTCAGTTTGTGCTGAGGGAGGCGTTTTACCCTTCTTCTTATCCTTCTCCCTGTCCGGCGCGCTTGTCTCCATCATGGCGCCTCTCCAAAAGGCGCCGGTTCATCCTGTCCTGGATGATGGCACAGCATCCTGGAGCTTCTGCAAGCTGTAGAGGTTCCCCACCAACGAAAGGAAGTTCAGCTCCGTGGCATTGTCCAACCTCATCTTGTCAACATACCACCATGCGAGGCAGGTGTCAGGAAGCGTGCAACCCACTTCCTTCAAACGGCTCACCTGCCTGTCGAACTCCTGGTTGAAGTCGCGGGTGTCCTGTGGTTGGCCGTTTTCTTGAGCGCCTTGAAGAAATCTGACTTGCGCCGGCCAACCTTCGTGACCTCGCGGTCCATGTACTTGTCCTTGATCCAAGATAAGAAGATCGCCACACCGCTGTCGGCGCCCAGGAGCGACAGGTCCAACTCCCCCGCATCTCGCCAAGCACGGCCTGACAAGCTGTTGTAGAGCATGAGGGCTTGCTTTCCACGAGAGAGGCGTGTTACTCGCCTCCAAGCTTCCGGATGTACCCCTTCCCTTCAGCCCATCGCAGTCGTCTTCTCCGGAGTACCTGAATCTTGTCATGACCGCCACCACCTCCCATCCAAGGATCACCACTTTGAGAGGTCCACCAAGGGTCAATCTGGGAATTGTGGGGCGGTGTAGGTGCAGCAGAACCCTCTACCGACGAAGACGCATTCGCCTGAGTCCCACCACCACCCCACACATAGAAGCTGTTCCATTGCCTCCATTCTTCTTCCGACCATCCCCTTCTTTCCCAGGACTTTTCGGATGTCCTTTGAGATCCTGCTTCTTCTCGGTCTTCTACACGTTTTCCTTCTCCTTCACCGTCATCAGCACCATCCACAGCGCTCGGCGAAGGCATCGCGTCCACAGCACCACACCACGTAGACCCCAGAGCCACCCAGGGAGACCTCCAAGACCACCGACTTCGCAAACCCTGAAAGCCGCGCCCACCGAGCGCGGAACCGGCTCAACGCTACCAATGTGAACAGAAAAGGGGCGCAACCTTTTCACCTCAAAAGGACCCTTGTGCCTAAAATGGCAAGCAAACAAAGCAGGCTCAACTGAGGGTGTCCTATATTCACAAGTATCACGAAAGCTACTAGGGGCCCCTGCTAGGAGCATGGACCTGGCCGTACTATAGTAGCAAGAAGCTAGTAGTAACAAGAAGCTTAGACATTTTGGAGCCACACCCAGACTGTCCAGCCAACTCCAATGAGCTTTGATCGTTCCAGCTCTTCCACGAGTCGCTTGGAGGATTTCCGCCCAAACCCCTGGCCGCACATGGCCGAACAAACTCCAGTGAAAGAATTGCCCTCGGCAGGAAGAGGTGGATCGGTCACCGTCCAACTGGCTTCCAAGGCGGCTGAACCGGTCAGTGGGGGGAGAGCGTCGGGTCTGGATTCTGGGTCCACCTTCAGGTTCACCAAAATCGGAAAAAGAAGAAGAAGAAGAATGGAAGTTTGGACGGTTCAATAAATCGTCGGCATTGGTGTGGAGTGCTTTTAAACACTCATTGGGAAAAAACGGCTGAAGAAACACTCCTGAATGCAAAAAGAAGAACCGTTCAGTTCAAGAGTTGAGTAGCATTTCAGGCCGACGTCCGCACGGGCAGCTCCTTGGCGAATTTCGGGCAGCTCACAGCTGATTGCAGATTTCTGGATCTTAGTCAAGGTAAAGGATTCAGCCTCCGGGTTCGGAGGGCTTTACAGGTGAGGCAGGCGAAGTTATTTGTACCGTAAAGTTTGGTATTTTGAGGTGCTTCCAAGATGGACAAGGGTGCCTTCTGAAGCTCCAGACGATGCGCCGCCACTTACCACGAACTTGTGGGACGATGCGCCGCATCAAAAGTCCAGGCTCCAAAGAATTGGTTTCACTTGAAAAATGTACGGGTATCATGCGACGCTGTTGCAGAGTGTGCGGTTCAATGCAAGAAGCTTTAGAAAGGTGGCTGGTGACTTTCAACAAATATTATTAATCTTGTGCGTGATGTACTTGTGCCAAACCCAGGGAAGCTCCGTTGAGTTGAACTTGTGGCGCTTGTCGCATTTGCCAACGAGTTCGATCCTTCCATCTCAAAGTGTGAAAAGCCTGAGGCTTCAACAACGGCATAGATGCAGATGGTGCAGGTCAATGATTCTCCTGGTTTCTCAGATCAACCATCCCGT